TCAACGGCACCAAACAGCAAGTCTGTGTTTTCCTCTGAGCTTCTGACTCTTATCTGTAAGACCTGTTCGACAGATTTTCATAGTTATTTTGTAAACACAGTGATAGCTTTTGCTATGCAAGAAACTCCCACACCAATTACTTGTCATTAACCACACATCTATGGGTCAGCAGCTTTTGCTATGCAAGAAACTCCCACACCAATTACTTGTCATTAACCACACATCTATGGGTCAGCTGTAACGAGGCTGGGTCAGCTTGTATGTCTCGGATGACCTTGGCTGGGCTCACTCCCGTATGTCTGCAGGCCAACCGAGAAGTATCTCATCTAGCCTGGGTTTTGTTCCACACGTCCCTCATCTTTCCACTTTTGGGCTAGCACAGGCATGTTCTTCTTAGAAAAATGACAGAATTATAAACCTGCCAGTGGCAACATGAAGCTTTTTATGGCCGAAGCGCAGGGCTGGGATGCTCTCACTTCTGCTTTACTCTGCCACGTGACCAAATCAAGCCCAGGAAAATACGCCTTTAATGGGAGGAGCTTGAACAGAAAGGAGGTATAGAATTGAGGTCAGTGATGCAATCTGACACACGTTCCAACTGCCTCAACCTGGACTCATCTCTGGGACGATCTCCCTCAACCAGAAACCTGTTTGGCTTTCTTTCTTTTTGTCCTTCGTGAACTATGTTGCCCTATGCCTGGTCCATGCCAGGAACCTCCAGGAGTACTCCCGAGTCTTTTCCTTGGTCCTGTCCTCGATTTTCACTTTGACTCTGACACACCTGGAGGTCACCAAGAGCCAAGAGGTTGGGTCTGTGGTAATTGGTTACTAGATAAATATTTCTTTAATTGACCATTTGTTCTCCAGCGTCATTTCCACCACTGTTGTGATTCAAGCTCCCTTGGGAAGATAGGGAAGTAGGCGTCTCTTGACTGATCCCAATTTGGCTTCCTTTAAATCCATCCCTTGTAGCTAAAATCCTCCACCTGAAATACAAGTGTCACTTCTCTTCCTGGGCTTCTCACTGACCTTAGAGCAGCGGTTCTCAACCTGTGGGTCGTGACCCCTTCAGGGATCGAATGACCCTTTCACGGGGATCATCCTATTCATAACAGTAGCAAAATTACAGTTATGACATAACAATAAAAATAATTTATGGTCACCACAACATGAGGAACTGTATGAAAGGGTCGCGGCATTAGGAAGGTTGAGGACAGCTGCCCTAGAGGAAGTCCTCTATGTTCTGGAGTCTCTAGCCTTATCTTCCTCCATTCCTGCTTTCTATTTTCCCCTTAATCCCAGAGTGAGCAAATTATAAGCTGTTTTTGTATGGATTATGAGCTAAGAATAGTCTTTATATTTTTTAATGGTTGGGGCGGGTAGAATATATGGTTGCACATGAAAATTATGAAATTAAAATTTTATTGGAGCACAGCGCCACTCTCATGTACATATTGCACATTCAGAGTTGCCTAGTTATGACAGAGACCACATGGCTCACAAAGCCTGAAATATTTACTTTCGCGAAATTTACAGAGACACAATTGCCAGCCCCTGTTGTAGTCATCCAGAACCTAAAATAACCAAAAGCAAAATAAAACCCATCCCACTGAGTTGATTCTGTTTCAAAACGGGCCTCTCGATAGGACAGAGTCAAACTGTTCCTCGGGGTTTTTAAGGCTGGAAATCTTCATAGAAGCCAACTGCGTCATCGTCCACGG